ACCATCAAATGATACATAAATAAAATTGATTACATCAATCAAGTGATACAAACTGGTTCATGCGGAGATTACATTCTTCAAGAAAATTTTCATTAAAGTACTTGTACCCATTGTTCGGGATCAATATAGATATGAGGAATGTGAGCAATCTTGTGCCTATCGGAGCCTCCATCCTCTCGATAGCGCTCCTTTAACTCTGGATGACATTTCCCATTTATTCTTAGACGTTCCAAAGAGGGAGGAAGGTTCGGTAATTCCCGAAGCATAGGAACATTATAAATATTTAGAACAGTCAAAGAGGAAGGAAGGTCCGGTAATTCCCGAAGCATAGGAACTTTAGAAATATTTAGAACTGTCAAAGAGGGAGGAAGGTTCGGTAATTCCGGAAGCATAGGAACTTTAGAAATATTTAGAACTGTCAAAGAGGGAGGAAGGTTCGGTAATTCCCGAAGCATAGGAACATCATTAATTTGTAGATATTCTAAAGAGGAAGGAAGGTGCGGTAATTTCCGAAGCATAGGCGCATCATTAATTTGTAGATATTCTAAAGAGGAAGGAAGGTGCGGTAATTCCCGAAGCATAGGAACTTCATTAATTTGTAGATATTCTAAAGAGGAAGGAAGGTGCGGTAATTCCCAAAGCATAGGAACGTCCTTAATATATAGTTTCTGAAGTGAAGATAAGCTTTCCAAGGAGGAAGGGAGAAACTGTAAGGATTTCAGAAATTTGAATTGCAGCTCACAAAGAGATGACCTAACTTTCAGAAACAACTGCTCCGCCTCATTTGGAAATGAAAACCCAAAACTAAACTCAATAGTCAGCTTTTTTAAGGAGGCGATACTTCTCAATGGCTCCATTAGCAACACCAATGGATCACTTATCCAGAGATTGTTGAGTATGAGATGGCAATTATTACTGGTTTGCATTTCTCCGAGAGAGATCAGATTGGGGCAATCTCTAATTGTCAACTCTCTTAGTGCTTCAAGTCTTGCTATTTCATCAGCCAGATGAAGAGATGTAATGTTTGGACAGTTATAGACATATAATGTTTCAAGGGGAATAGGATTTGAATTGCTACGAAAATTCAAAGTCGTCCACCCAGTTCTATATATCCTCAAGCTCTTGAGCTCAGTAGGCAAAGAGGGCAACTCTTTCAACTTCGGGCAGTTATACAGCCCCATATCAGTTAAGCAAGGAAACAAACATCCGTCTTCAGCAGCTACTCCTGCCTCAAACCAATCCTCTATTGCTTCTAATCTGTAAATATATAACTCCTCTAGCAATGGAAAAGCACGG